AAAATTGCAATAATCATTATGACTAGAGGGGAATTTCCTGATGCATATACTGGGAAGTGATTTTCATGAAAGAATCAGCTATCTTAGATTTTATTCCTTGACACTGCCAAGACAAATTCTGTTCACATCATTGCTTTTTTCTCCTGGAGTAATTCTGCAAAGCCATTTCTTAGTTCCTTTATACTGTTAGACTTCCTTCCTTATTCACTATACTTTTGCTGTTTTGTTTAACAAAGCAAGTTGGCAGTAATTATCTTCAATCTACACTCATCCACTCCTATATGTATAGTCACAAGTGGAAAGGAGAATGAGAGACATTTAGAAGTCAAGTTCTCAACAGACATAAGTAATATTTTCATCATATTATGATTTATAACCAAGGGAAAATACTAAATTGTAGGAAAATATTCCCTAAATATAAAAAAGTGATTGTGGAGAATATAATCCATTTTTTTAATTCAGGAAAAAAAATGAAAACTCCTATTACTATCAAAACTATCTTTAATCTCAGTATACCAAATAGCTAAGAAAAAAATTTATGTAGGTTAGATGATTTTAGCTTAAACCATGCTGCTACACAGAAACACACTTTTTGGTCTTTCTCTTGTTTATAATGCTTACTTCTACTCTATTTAATTGCCAGATTGTGTGATGAGGACAATGTCCTTGCACAAACACTCTGTAATAAACATATCTTCCTTTCTTAAATATATATGGTGAGTTACATAAATTGTCTACATTACTGAAATGAATATAATATGTATTTATGGAGTATAATATCTATGTAATCATAAGCAGATACTGATTAAATAATATGAAGCATATTATAGGCAGATTTGTTTTAATAGATTATCAATTTAATGTATCTTTTTAAACTGTATCAATTGCATGCATTTAAACATTCCTAAATATTACCAATGAGATCAACACATTCTGTAATTATAAACTACACATCTTGTATATATTTTGCTGGTAAATATGATCTCTACATATAATATAGCCCTAAATTCATATTTTAATCACCAAATAGTATATCTTAAATTGTAGCTTAATATCTTTACCATAAGATTTCTACTTTTAATAGTTATTTTTATTTGATAAGTTATCTTTCTAATATGAGTGATAAACTAAAGACATTAAGGACCAAAGAATGTTTTATTCTGAACATCTCTTATTCTGAAGTCCAGCTCACTCAAACTTCAGAAATTACATATCAAACAAAATGCAGGTTAAACCAAAAAGTGATAAGAATTTGTTGTCTATTAAAATATTAAATTCCTACTAAAGAAAATAGCATAATCAATTCAAAAAAGTAAACAAATATGAAAAATTATTAATACCTTACTTTAAAAAACTAATATATTTCTATGAATATACCAATATATCTCTACCATGTCAAAGACAGCAAGAAAATAATATCAAATTAAGGAATAAAATTTTAAAAAACTCTCCTAAATAAATTTGCATTTCTCTTATAGTGACTGCATTTGATAAATATAAGAGAAATGCAAATTAAAAGTGCACAGATATTATTTTTCACCTATCATATGTGCAAAACTCCAAGTTTTACAACTATCTCTGAAAGCATACCTGAAGAAAATCACTCATTTTAATACACCACTGATAAAAGTATAAAATACTTCAACACCTCTAAAAGGGATCTAGTGATTTTTCCAAGATTATAATTATTTATATGTGAATAGAATCCTACTTTTTAAATCTCTCTTATAGTTCTACCTATATGTATGCTAAATAATGTGCATAGAGGGTTATTTGTTCTATTTTTGCATGTAATAGCAACAAAATAAGAACAACAAAGTCGACTAGTAAGCACTTTCTAAGTAAACTACACAGGAAGGTACACCAATAAAAATAGTGAAGACCTCTGAAAACTCTTGTCAATAAAACCACTGACCATGCTTCAGTAAGGCTGGGCCTTAATACCCTGGCGTGTAGATGGCTCCTCTTCTTCATCTCGCCCCTCCTCTCCCCAAACACACACCTACTGTTGGTGGAGCATCTGCTGGCCGGGTCACCTCCTGTGGACTTACTTGAGTCCATGTCAGTCTACCACTGTGTCCCAATAGCCATTGGTCCACAAGCTTCTTCACCTGGTGCCTGACGTGGACCTGGCCATTGTGGACGACTGGCTGAATAATGAATGAATGGGCAGTGCAAGCATGAGTTCCGAGCAGCAGAAGCAGCCCTGCGCCCTACCCCCTCAGCTGCAGCAGCACCAGATGAAGCAGCCTTGCCAGCCTCCACCCCAGGAACCATGTGTTCCCCAAACCAAGGAGCCCTGTCACACCAAAGTGCCTGAGCCCTGCCAACCCAAGGTGCCAGAGCCCAGCCAACCCAAGATGCCTGAGCCTTGCCAGCCCAAGGTGCCAGAGCCCTGCCAGCCCAAGGTGCCTGAGCCTTGCCAACCCAAGGTGCCTGAGCCCTGCCAACCCAAGGTGCCTGAGCCTTGCCAATCCAAGGTGCCAGAGCCCTGCCAATCCAAGGTGCCTGAGCCCTGCCAACCCAAGGTGCCAGAGTCCTGCCCCTCAACAGTCACTCCACCACCAGCTCAGCAGAAGACAAAGCAGAAGTAACATGGTCACAGCCACACCCTTGAAGAGGCAACCACTGGATGTCCCTTTTCCATTTTGCTCAGGAGTCCCATTTTTCTGTTGACCTTACGATTAACATGAGTCATCATCCTTCCCTCTTTGAACCCCCCAAAAAGATATCCCTCACATTCAACTATGGAAGGTTCCTGAGCCTCCGAAGGTGACTGCAAGTCTCACTGGATGAGTAGGTCTTCCAGGGTCTCAGGGTTAATCTGAAGAGGGATGTTGGGAGGGGGTCAAGTGAATCTTCCCTGTTCTGCCCTCATTAAATCACTTTTAACTCAAAAAACAAACAAAAAAAAAACACTGACCAGAAAGATTTTTGTTCCAATAATTTCAAATAATTATCATAATCATTAACATGGTTACAAAGCCTGTAACTCATGGTATGCTTTTCTGTGAATTACTACATTTGACATATTGGTAAAGGTCAGTGCATAAAAATAAAAATCTCAGTACTTGCACCCAAAGTCATTCACACCCAGTACACTATGTGGCAAACATTTTACCCAGGAGCTCAAGAACATTTCTATAAATGGCCAAGGCTAAAAATCTTCAAATTTGTGGGTCCCACAGTGTTTCATCTTTACTGAAGTCTGCTATTGTGAAATGAAAGCAGCCCTCATAATACATAAATGAATGGTTGTGGCTGTATACTAGCGCTGATTATTTAAATTTCATATAAGTTGGGCCATCCTTAATGTGGCCCTTCATGCACACACATCTGTCCATTGATACTACAAAAAAGTTAAATGGATAACAATTTCACAGGTCCTGCACTGAGTGCAATAGATCACGAGCCTCTACCACATACAGATCTGTGAGGTGCACTCATTCATATATTCATCATCCCCCAATCTCAGAATATTTGTTTAGAATCCATCTTCTGATTAATTTTTTATCTTCTACCAAAACTAAGCATGCCAAAAGAAAATAAAATTTATCTGCTCTTTTCTCTCCCATTTCCAGAAAATTTTATTTGTTATTTAGTGAAATTAAAATGAAAAGAAATAAGCATAATAAATTGATAATAAAATGTCTTTCTCTTATTTCTCACCAAAAGAAAAAAATTCTGTCAGTTCCCAATTATTTTCTTCTTTTCAAGAACTGAAATGATTATAGAAATGTATTTTGCATTTCAAAACAAAAATGATTTTCTAATAATTCAATATATTTTGTATTAATATTAGTGCCTTTGCTTTCATGTCTTTTATACAACACTTTGTAGAGGAAACTAGCATACAGTGACATGAGTCATTTGTCTCATTTTATTATGCATATGAGGAAATGATAGACTTGTTTCAGATATTTTCTTATGTTTCTGACACCATGGCTCCTGTGTTGTATGGAAAATGCAGCTGCGATACAGTCTTGTTGGACCAGGGGTAGAAGACATGGTTTGTGATCCTGAACTGTCTACACATAAGGAAAGTACCATTGTTTGAATGGAATAGTTTTTTTTTTTTTTTTTCCCTCAGTAATAGTGCTAAAATGAGAAGAAACAGTCAATCAGGGTAACAGAAGCCACTGAGCCACTGTGGTCAGGGTGATTCCACTGCTGTGCTTGCTTTCTCCCATAGGTAACAGAAGAAATCTGTGTGCTGCTTCCAGAGATCAGTAATTAATCAGAATTAAGCTTTTCAACCTCCTACTCTATTCTAGAACCTAAATGACATATACCTAAGTTATCCCATGCTACTGAGTAGACAGTTTTCTGAAGATAAGGATAAGCCACTGAATTTTCTTATCTGTACTTTTTAAAGAAAGATAACTTATTCTGATATTACTGGTTATTCTGTCCCATAATATTTTGGGATTTTCTCAAACCCCATATTACTAGTGCATATTTACTCTGTATTTAAATCTATCAACAATTTTTGGGAATTAGAAAAAAATCCATGTCTTCAAAAGGCTGATTAAGAATATATTTCTGTAACAATCACCAGAAACATATTAGATATTATGTTCATAGTAACTTTTTAGCCTCATGTGCACTAGCAAGAGATAAAAAGTTACCAATAAACATAAATGCTTCAATAAGTGACATTGCATATTCTAATGTACTTTTGCAATATTATAAAATAATTTAATTGTGTTTTTGACTAAGCCTTCCTACTTAAGAAAAGAAAAAAGTCACTAGTGTTCTGGTAAAGGATGCACATTTCAATATTCTGGAAAAGATTTAAAAGAGATGCAATATCATTGAAAGTGTTCATTTTTTACAAATACCTCAAGCTCTCCAATACAAAGTATAGCTTTCTATTAAAAAAAAAATCACTTCATGTTTCAAATCGTATTCAACTCCATTCTCATCTCACCACACAATTTCTCAGGAGAGGAAAAAAAAAAACAAACTATAGGAAACAAATTTTTTTTAAAAAAACTTACTTTTCCAACATATTGTGGATCTGGTCCCATATGTTCTTCTAAAACAAAGAACTGATTCCACACCCATCCCCTTTTGGGACGATGGTGGACTTCTGTTTCACCTTCAATGTGTTTGGTTTGGTTTCTGGTCACCTTGATGGAGCTGTGGTGAGCAGTTCCATAACACCTCTGCACAAAACAGAGACACACTAGGACTGGACAGATGCAAGATGTGCTCGTAATTTTCATTGTAAGATAACTTGCCAGTTCACGGTTTTCCTGTTCTTCTTTGTCAGCTACAAATGCTTAATGAGCATTCAAGAGAGAAGCAAAAGCATCTTTTGGAAGGACAGTCCAAAGCAAATTGTTCAGCGAGTCCATGATTTAACTGCCCATCAGGGAAAGATCAGACCACATTTACATCCTGAAGCACTTGGAGAATCAAAGCTGTAGTGGTCTGAGGATTCCAAGTCTTCACAGTAGGAGAACACAGGTAAGCATTTTCTACCTAGTGAAAGGAGGGAAAATTATATACATTACAAAACATGTAATTTTAACTATTTATCTGAATGAAAAAAAATATGCTATTTTTCAGAATGATGGTGATAGGCAGAGAAAATATGCAAGTCCTTTCAGAAATATATATATATATATATATATATATATATATATATATATATATATATACATGAAACCTAAGCTCCTGTTTGCATTTTTACACACGTTTCTACCTATAATGTTAATTCTCAATGGCATATATATGTATGTGTATATGTGTGTGTGTATTGCTTGTATGTATGTATAAAGTACGTATGTCTGCATATACGTGTGTATACATATAAAGTTTTTGTTTTTGTTAGATGTATACAGACCTGCACATCCTACATATTAATTACATACTATACATGATAAATGACTTCAATTTTTTTTTCCCAAATTCTCTCAATACCATCACAGCAAACAAATAGTTATTAAAGTACTTAAGAAGTAAATGAAGTTCAAGAAGGAGGGTAGGGGGAGAGGAGGAAGAAGATAATGAGAAAAGAGAAGGTATTCTGCTAAAAATTATTCCAGGCTTGGGGCACAGATTGTCAGAATGGAATATTAGTGTGAACTGCAATTGGCTGAGGTATAGCTTGCCTGGACTCTGACAGGTCATGCTTACAATATGTTAGGGTATGGACTTGGCATGCAGGGCAGATAGACTTCCAAGCTTGGGGATGATATCACCCTAGATTTGATGTCTAATATACATATGGTTCCCATGTATGTAAAGAAAGGATTAAAGGGATAATAGGGGACAAAACATAAAAAGTAAAAATTTGTTGCTTTTTCAGATAAAAAATATTAAAATTCTTGTACTTGGATTTTGGTACAATTGGGCAATAAAGTAAAGCTTGAAAAACATTTGTTGGAGACAAATAAGAAGTTTTGTGAGATGCAAAGTTGATTCTGAAATTATTAGCTTACTAAAAACAAAAAAATGAATAAAATTTGCTGAAATAGTTATGTATCTGTGTTCAAATATGTGTTTAGAAAAATATCGATTCAACAATATGGCTCTTTAATCTAGTGAAGATATTTAATTCATTGTTATCTCATTGAATAATATTGTCTGTAAATCAGTACAAACTGTAATGCTGATGTGAAAAAATTACAAAGTAATTCACATGAAAATATAATTGATTTTAAAATCTATATAATAAATCATAGCATGATTCTTATATAGAATTTAAAAAAAAGGTGTTTATGCAGTGTTGGAAATGAATAAATATATCTATCACTTGAGACCACACAGCAGGGTATTCTTCTCTGTCAGCATTTTTTTCCATAAATTAGGGTTAATAACAATGCTACTTCACCATAGTACAAGAATTGTATAGGATTAGAATTAGAATTTTATTTCAACCAACTGATAAATAAAACATTCAATTTTTAAATATTTTAGGAAAGCAAAGGGACTGTTCATGCTGATTTAATTTAAAACAATCCAAAAAATTTCTCCTAACTTAAAAGATCAGTCTAGATCCAATATGTTACAAGAACTGAAAAGAGAGTTTAAAAACACAGAATTTGGGGCTGGGGTTGTGGTTCAGTGGTAGAGTACTTGCCTAGCATGCATGAGACACTGGGTTTGAGCCCCAGCACCACATTAAAAAAAAAAAAAGACTAAATAAACAAAATAAATATAGTGTCTGTCTACAATTAAAAATATTTTAAAAATACAGAATTTGTTTGTTTTTAAATATAATTTGCTTACAATGTGAACTTTCATGAATCATCAAATTTATCCAAATCTCAATGTTCTCATATATTTACTTTTAGCCAGAATTATTGTTTTCAATTTTTTATCTATTTAAAATATTTGTATGATTTTAGATGGATTTCTTTAGTTTCCAAAATATTCTTAATTTTCAAGTTATGAATTTCAAAAAATAAGAGATTTTTTTTAGTCATTCTTCTTAGAAGCTAAGGTGATAAATATATAGAAGGTGTTGTTATCTTAATACTTTCACACCATTTGGTGAGATTTTCAAATGAAATTAACATGTTCACCCTTTATACTTAGTTATTTAACAAAGCATAATTCATGAGAAGAAGGTGAAGAAAGTGGCTTTTGTAATGTATTGCAAATCAGTAGAATAAGTATTTTCTCCACAGTGTTGGTCTTGTGTGTCATTCCAAAAATGTAAAAATGCATTTTAATTTATATATGTAATATATGTTTATAAATCTTTTTTGGAAATTTTGAAAACTGATAAATGTGACAGTGCAGAATAAAAGAACAGATGTAAATATGACTACTGTGCTTTTGAAGATAAGTCCCTTTACCACATTTGAGAGGATATGACTACACATATGAAAATTTCCTGTTTTGCTTCAAGAAATCTTTCCCTGTGTAGGTTACAAAATATTAAAATGCAAAAGTAACAAAGCAAATCACTGATTAAGAACAATGCACTAGAAATATGTAGCAGACATTTATTAATTTTTGACAAAGCATCATTCAACTACCTTTAATGCTTTCAAGGAACACTCAAGTACATGAATTTTGACGAACAAAGCCCTAATTCAACACCAGATACTTAGAGACAAAATATATTTCTTTCCATATTCTCTCAATTAGAACATATGCCAGTGGTATATATACCAAATTATATGCTCCAACACTCTGGAGCAAATAATAGATGGATGTAGGCACTGTTGAGAAATTCTTCAGGACAGTGGTCATTGTCTCAAGGTCTAAATATAATGTGGTGAGCTTAGCAGCTATGACAGAACTCAGTGCCTGCAGCAGAAATAAGGGACTTCTAGCTGTAATGCTCCAGTGGCAATTACTTGATTTTGTTTTGGACTCTAACTTAGCTTGGTTCCTGGTTCTGACCAAACTTGATTTTTAATGACTCATCAACTTTGATGGCTACACAATATATTTGAAAAAAAATGTTTTTTTATTCTTTCCAAGGCCATAGTTTATTTCTGGGATTTGCAAATTAGAACTTCCTCTCATACAAATATTGTAGCAACAATACTCCAAACTTTGGTTTCAAAGACTGTAATATATCAAATGATGTATAATGCAGACCTCCTCTTTCTGCTCAGTCCTTCAGTCCAAGTGATTGCAAAGACTCATCACAGGCTCCTAGAAACACTGACTTTTTAGAACTGAAGTTAGTAACAGTAGAGTCAAACTGTAATATCCATTATGAGGAAACTCTCACAATTTCATTGGCACTTTACTCTCTAAGTTTCATGTTTCTCATCTGTGGATAAAGAAGTTTATTGAATGATTTTTAGCATACTAATCAACATAATTCTTTTAATTTAAGATTTAATAATAGCATATAATTTCCAAATGAGTTTTCTTATTTATGCAGAGTTACATAGGTCACCCAAGCTTAAATCATTAGCCATTAATAGCTCTCAGTACAGGTCTTCCTTCAAAAAAACTGAGGAAACACTATTCTCAATACAAATATTTCTCACATTTATCCCAAACGTTATTGCTTGTTTCTGGGACTTTTAACTCTGGTTTTTCATTGATTGTTTCCAAATTTACAAACCTGAGACTCCAAAAAAGTCTAGAAAATAGTTTCTATTTTTTAAAAAAAACTGTTTGCTTTGATCTTCTGTTCTAAAATTTATCTTTGTAAAACATAGTATATCAACTGTATTTCATGAGTAAATCACTCTATTCTTCGTAAGTGCGAGGTGACATGAGATATCATCTCACATTTTAAAAAACAGAAAATTGTCATCAACTTCTAAAGTCAAGTATTATATGTAATCACTAGACATCTTGACTTGTATAGAGCCTAGTTTACATAGAAATCTCAAACAAGATCAGCTATGCTAGAAAGTCCTTACTTTGGGAATTACCTTCCCCACATGCTTGAGGGTGTCTTGTATGGAGAAGGACCTGTCAATGGGAGCATGATGCTCAACCCAGAGAAAAGCTTCTCAACTCTGCAAATGAACCCATCAGATGATAAAATAATGGCTGCTTTGAAATGATGGCTCATTTTGAAAATAGTGGACCTTTAACTTTTCCATGTTAAATCATATAAAATACCATGTTACTCTAAATTATACAGTATATGTAAAATTTATGTTTGAATTTCAAAGTATTTATATAAGGTAAAATTACAGGTACTAAATATAAGTTTATCATCTTTTTCCTCAAGTTTAATGGAAAACAGTATGCTCACATTCAAGATGTTAGTCTATCTATTTGTCATCTAAGTGTGTAAAGCTACCCTTTGAATTGAGAGTTGCAGGCAAAACTCCCATTGCTAACAAGGCACATACTTAGGTGTGCATCTAATACTACAGTATAGATTTCCATCATTTAGGGATCCAATGATTAATTGTAATTGTATCATTCTCTCTTTTTAACTCTAGTTCTGTTCTAATTTCCAATGATACTGACTTCCAATTTTTACTTTAATTTCTTTAACTCTCTATTCTAACTATATTCTCGATAAACAAATGGGGTTTATTTTTCCATCTTAAGAGAAATCTGTGTGCTTAAAAATTAAGGTTTTTCCTCTACCTGACAATTGACTTAATAGCTTTTGAATACAGCCAGTATAAAATACTCATAAACCACATGGAATTGTGAAGAAACTTAACTAATTTGTTTCAAGTGTTATTTCCATGTTCCAAGTCTATATTTGAAATTTCAATTTTACCATTTCAGGATATTCTCATAATTTAAAGTTATGATTATATTGGATTTAGTAAGTTGCATTTGTTTTAAGTAGACATATAAATATATGTATAATATGTAAGTATATTTAAAATCATCTAAGGGGTTTTACCCTCTGAAACATGATAAAATCCTAAATAATTGTACAAATAAATCAGAAATATTAACTTTTACATGTTTTTTTCACTGGAAGTGATGGTTTAAGTTCCAAGGAGACTGGGTGAAATCACTTTTTTCACATGGACAGGCTTTAATGCCTAACATGGCTCATTCTGCTGTGTTTAGCTGTAAAGGTTATGGCTTCCTGGCTACCATGAGCTGAGAGGCTTTCC